GCCGCAGCCGCAGCTGTGCGCCGGCGCGCCGCGGCCGTTGCTGCAAGAGAGAGTTGGCACGCTAGCAATAGTCAAAGAGGGATGTCTAGCCTGGTAAGACGTGCTGCTGATAATCGGTTCTTTTAAAAAAATATCTTAAACACACATGGTCATAGAAAATTTTAGAACCTGAAGGAGCAAGTGAGCTATCATCCCCATTAAAGGGGTTGTACAAAAGTCGGGTTAGGAAAACATTTATATCCGAAAGATTACGTACAAAAAGAGAAACAAGACACATTTTTTCTGATCCTTCATTTTGTTTTAAATTCAAGGATCATGGAAAATATAACAAAACCAGTGTAACTTCGTCTACACTAATACTATAAAGAGGAAAAATTTGTTACAAAATGAGATAGATGTTTGTAATTGTTAACGTATTTAGATATTATACACCTTGTTATAAACACAAAACATTTTAAAAATATAGCTGGTAGTTTACGAAATATCATCAATTGAATTCTTCGCATTTTAAGGTCAATGTTTTATAAAAGGAAAAAATCAAAAATCTAAAATTTATTGACTTTAATTTTCAAAATAAAAACCATTTTAACTTGACCTCTAGCACGAAGCATTTTCAGGTAGGGAAGGGTTCAAACTAATTTGGTTTTTGCAGCGATAATTTTTACATGACATCTAACACACTTTTGTAGGCAAAGCGAGACTACAGTTTTTATGTTTTATATATTTTTGTGGTGCAGTGAGTAAGTATGATGTTAACAAACTTACATATATAGTGGCGAAAATGACTCCACCTTTGTTTGAATACCCAACAAAGGTGAACAGACGCGCAAAAATCGGATTGAAAAATACAACAACCAACGTATGACAATGAAAACAAGTTCTTCAGTGTTTCCCCACAAGTTAACGATGATACCAGGATTAAATAACTTTGAGTGAAATTCTGTTTTTTTTTGTTTTAATTTTCTTTATGTCTATTAACATAATTGGTACAAGTTTTGTTAGTTCTCAAAACCACATCCCATAAACAAAATAAATAAGTCCTTTCGTTGGCAACACTGGTGTCAATGTCACTTTCGTGTCTGTCTAAGCTCCTCAGCTCAGATTAGAGAAAATAGTCAATTAATAAATAACCTCAAATCGCTATTTTGTGTTGATCAAGGATCCAGAACCGAAATTAAAAAAACAAATATATTTTATGTCAACATAATTAGAGTGTACATTGCTCTGGAATGACTACGCGTTATTTTTATATAGAGTTAGAAGCTGAACTGTGAGTATATTTCATTGCAGCTTTAGATTTTTATTTTCATTAATGAATTTGATCATGCAATATAATATATACCAGGATTTAAATTATATTTATACTGTACTTTGTGAGATGTGCTGTTGTATTAATTTTAAAAAGCAACCATGTTACAATACTCCAAAAAAAGTTATAAACCATCTGAATTGATAACAATAGGTTATCAAGGTAGGTATTGCTTATTTGAGATGCCAAATGCTGTTAATTCAGGAACTATTTTTTAGTTTTTGCAATCCATGTACAGGTATGTTACTTGTTTAGTATCAGTAGGATGTTTTACATTTACATAACTTTGTTTTACAAAATATTTAATTTAGTCAAGACTAAAGATGAATTTATAGTGTAAATAATTACTGGCTGTTACTGCTATTTTGTTATGAAATATGTTGACAAGTGAGACAACCAATGTCAATTGGCCATTGCCCGCTGCCATCTTGTAGAAACTACGTTTTCGCTTTCTAATGTAGTGGTTAGGCAGAGAAGAGCATAAACAGGAAATAGGCTTACACTGGCTAACTGGACACTACCACTATTTGTAACACTGAATAAAACAGATCTGTAAGATATCATAAATGGTTTTAACTCTATTTGTATACTTATTATGCAAGAAGGGTTTTACAATGGGGCTGTAATTTATCACAGGTAACATCAACCAACTGCCATAACTGCTAAGGCCGGTTAGAAGCAAGCGAAGCTTTGAGGGATTTGAGTGAGTACTTTTGATTGAATGTTAGATATGAAACAACAGGAGTGGGTCGGCGCGACCAGAGGTGGAGGTGCAGCAGCTGGTGAGCGCGGCGGGGCGTGCGGCATTCGGCGAGTGTGGCGCGCCTCGCGTGGACGTGCTGCGCGCGCGTGCCTCCGGCCCCGCCCGCGCCTTGCTGCGCGTGCCCGCCGCGCAGCTGCGCCAGCTGCGGGCTGCGCTCGCACTCTGCGCGCGCCCCCTGCGAGTCCGCAACGAAGCACCCTCGCTGCAGGCACTCATTTGATTCCAGCGAGATAGGTCTTGCCCATTCACTTATATCCATTTCCTATCTATCACAAGTCTAATCTAAAGTTTCTTTTGAGAGTATGTAACAAAAATATAGTACCCGTCTGCCCACTGCTTACATATGGTGTGGGGTTACATATTATGCGGAAATGTGTAGTCACTGTGCTGCACTGTATAGCTGCGAATCTGAAAAAAAAATTAGTTTTACCTTTTAAGACTCTATAGAATACTTATTAATTAAATTTAAATAAAAATTTTTGTATAAGTAAGCATTTATGTATAAGCAGATTTTTGTTAAATTTCTTTTTTTTCTTCTTGTACCTTGTAATTTATTGTAGTTTTGATTAATACCAGTTTAGTAACCTTTTTTTTT